ATATAATATTATTCATAATGTTGATATGAATGATAAAATTAATATTATTATATATACTATTGTGTATTTAGGGAATATATAAAAATACAAAAATGTGCTTATATACAATGCATTTTTAAATATATGTGTATGTATAGATATGCATCAAATCACTTGGCTGGCATTTGAATTTCTCTCTGGTTTCATTGGTAAATAAGTTTGCACTGGGAATCTGGATAGTTGTAAAGGAATATAAAGATTTACTGGGTGTGTACTTGTTTTGAATATAAAGGGTAGCAACAGCTTTAAAACATTTTCTTTAGACTTTGTAACTGGCTTTTCTTCAAGTTTCTTCATGAAGGTAAGGTCAAACATTAATTGAACAAGATCAAAAGATAGGATGCTTAATAAGCACATACAAGTGGCCACAAAGATGATTAAGGGATTGCAGCATCATTCATACAAGGAGAGACTGAGACATCTTGGGTTGTTTAGCTTGAGAAAAAAAGGCTCAAGGGAGGCCTTTTCAATTTCTATAAATTACTGATTGGAGGGTATAAAGATTAAGCTAGACTCTCCTCAGTGGTATCTAGTAAATAGACAAGAAGAGAGAGGGGCAAATTGAAATACATGAAAATCTATTTAAATATAAGGAAAAGTTTTTCCTCCAGAGAGGCTGGGGAGTCTCCATCCTTGGAGACTCAAAACACAACTAGATACTGTCTCCCGCTTTGAGCAGGGGGATCGGACTAGGAAATCTCCAGGATTCTTCTGTCTTGGTTTCCCAGCCAAAGCACCAAATAAATCTGTCAAATTTTAAGTCTGGGCTGGCCACTAAACTTTGACAGACAGCCTCTGTGATCCCCCCACCACTGTCCTAGGGGAGGATAACCAGGGGAACCAGGGAGAAGGACTTTGAGGTTGAAAAAAAACTTGAACCAGTATAATGAAAAACAAAATAAAGTTTTGAATGTTGAACTACATACAGGTATTATACAAGCGTGAAAATATTTAAAGATACAAGAGAATATCAGTTGCCTGATCTAGTCGAGAGGTGGCGTCCCTGGCACCAGGGAGGCTGGATTAAAATGATCTCTAAGGTCCCTTCCAGCTTAGGCCATTCTGTGATATAATATGTTAACACAGAACCCATACCTTCCGGACGACAACCAGGTCCTGTGCAGAGAAAAAGTTCCAGAGTGGACTCAGCAGCAGACGAAGCACCCAAGCCCAGAGTCCCAATAACAGTCCAAAAAAAAAAACCCAAAACCAAACCAACCCAGAACCAGGAAAGCAGCTGTGCTTCTCCCACCCAGACAGGGGAAGACAGTGTGTCCCGATGAACAGTGCTCCTCTGCAGTGTGACAGGGATGCCATGTGACAGTAATGCCAGCAGGACAAGTTGACATGAGTAACAGCTGTGTTTACATTGCTGATGGCAATCCTTTCAGCACAACAAGCACAAAAGGCCCTGGGATTGTTCTTACGGGCCTTTATATGCTGCGCACCATGGCAAGGTACACGGTGATCGGTCTGTTTGGGTCGCTTGACCCATCCTTGCCTCCCCATAGGCGGAGCTGCCTGTCAGCCTCCATTGTGCTTGCTACCTATGCCAGGTCACCCCAGAAAACTTTTATCCTGCTATCAAACCAAGATACCTTACAACCTCAGCTATTCTGTGAAGATTTGTGTTTTTTCAGTTTTATAAGGATGTGAAGAAATTTCAGTAATCCATCAGCGAGTTACAGTCACTAATCCACTTGCCTGCCTGCGTGATAGGGACGGAATAGAAATCCCTGAATCAGTGACGTAGCTTTCATCCTTTTCCGCAAGGATGCAGGAAAGAGTATGTGGGTACATAAAAGGACAAAGGATAGTTGCAGTTTTCAGGGTTGATACAGAGGTCTCAGAATAGAGCGAAAATGTATCCCAAGCAAATGCAATGTGGTCCCACTGCTGTGGAAGGTAAAGAATACCAATCTGAGGGATGGTTCATCCTGCTGGCATAGCAAGTCTGTTCTTTCAAGTCATATTTAAGTATTAGCATTTACAGAGTGCTAAAAGCTGTGCATAATGAGTGTATAACCTCTTTTTTTAAATTTTTCTCCCTCTCCTTTTCACAGCCCTTATTGGTGCCTGTGGAGGGAATTACACTTCTGCTACAGCTGTGATCTATTCCCCAGATTTTCCTGACACGTACGGCACAGGCAAAGTCTGTTACTGGACCATTCAAGTTCCTGGAGCATCTCAAATCCATTTCAGCTTTGCCCTATTTGAAATCAAAGATGCTACAGATATGGTGGAATTGCTGGATGGCTATACCTATCATGTTCTAGCTCGTTTTAATGGCAAGAACCGGCCTCCCCACACTTTTAACATCTCTTTGGATTTTGTCATTTTGTACTTTTTCTCAGATGAAATCAATCAAGCTCAGGGATTTGCTATTAGATATAGAGGTAAGAGGCTAACTTTGTTGTTTCTACCTTTCAATGAGTGGTTAAAGCATTTAATTCACTGAGGAGATTTCTGAAGTGGCAAGAAAAAGAGCAAGTATTTTAACTCTCGTGTCTTCAGGTGATTCATCTATCTTGTTGCCACTTGCTCAGTTCGTAAAAGCTTTGCTACAATTTCTCTCAATTTGGAACACTCCAGTCAGCTATGTCATATTTAGCAAAAATTGAATTTTTGAAAATTCAATCCTGTACATATCTGCCCGTCAAAACAGACTGGAAAATGGCAAAGCTGAAACTAAACAAAACAAAAAAACTCACCTAGTGGTCCATCTACATCTTGGTTCATCTTGGCTCTTTCCAATAGTCTGTTCCATTCAGATTGAAAGTCATGGGGAGAAAACATTTTAGTCCTTGACTTATACTGCTGCTGTGATGAACTGTTAGATCTCGGAAAAATTCTGGGAACCCATGAGGACTTGATGAAATACAGGCTTTTTGTGGCATGAGACATAATTTCATTATGGAAGTTCTCCAAGTAAACCAGAGAACAGTGCCTACCTGTTTACAAGCACAAAACAAAAGTCCAGGTACACCTGTTAAGAAATTGTTATTGTAATCATACTGTTATGTTTTCAGCTGTGAAGGACAGTGTGCATCAAAACAAGATTCCAATGAATCAGACCCTTTCAGAGAAGATAAATGAAAAAGCAAATCTCAGCATCAATGCAGCCCGGTCATCAAAGATACTTTATGTCATCACAACTAGCCCAAGTCATCCTCGTAGCTCCATGCCAGGTAATGTTACAAGAAAAAGTGAAAATAAGAAAAACATTTTGCCAAGGCACGATCTAGAGTCACTGTTTCCCCTGCCTCCTCCAGATTATCTGATCCACTGTGTCTCTTACTAATAGGTTAATTTTCATTTAGGCTAATTACCACTAGCTGTGCTAACACATGAGTAAGATGTGAGTGAGAGCAGCCCCCTTACCAGAGTCAGCTTCAGGGACCAGTGTGTACCACAGAGGTGGCAAATGGTGCTGAAGAAAGAGCAAACTTCTGCAGAGTCTGGAAGAGCCTGAATGCGCGCTGCATCCGAGTTTTCCCAATTCACAGCAAGTACAACAATGCAAAGAGGGCTAGGCAAGGGTGAAGCAAGTTAACGTGTGCAGGGGAGATGCCACTGAAAACTGTCACATGCCTAGAACAAACCTTCAAGACATCATTCAGGAAATTGTTGAGTTGTAAATAATTGAAGACTGGAAACGCAGTCCTGGTGTATATCACTGTTGGTCTCTCCTATCTTTAAACTACCCTGAGCATCTGCTTTTACGTATCGTTGGACCTGGGCCTCAATTACACTATGGCTGTTCTTAATATTTCTGTAGTCCTGAAGCTGTCCTCATTCCAAACCTGAAGTGTAAGGAGATGACTCCCTCTTCCTCTTATCTTTTACAGAATGGACAATATATAGTCTCACAGCACTGCTCATCCTAAGCGTTACAGCCATAATAGCAAAGATATTTCTGCACATTACCATGAGGTGAGTATGGAGCAAAACTGTCCTTGGAGAACTGGTGTCTTGGCTCTATATCAAACCTGGTACACTTCATTTATCTGCCTTCTGATACTGTGAGATTGGTCTTATTAAAAATCAAGCTATATATTACATATTTGTATCCTGATAAAAGATACTGAATAAGCACATTTTTAAACTTTCCAATCTGTTAGGGTAGCATTTGCTGCTAGACTCCCTTGGTCTTGTTTTGACAAGATTTGTATTTTAAGGGATAAAAAAGTTTCTCATATTGAGTGAAAATGTAATCAGATACCTCGCACTGGTGGGAAGAAGTCAAATTATGATAATACTTCGCAGGAAAAAAAATTAAAACCTCATCCCAGATCAGGGAACTGGGAAAAAAGGTATAAGCTAGTTAATATTTTTCGTACTGAAATATCAAAAATTATTAAAAAAATAATCACAAAAATTAGTATCTGTATTATGGTGTGACAACCAGTCTATTTTTTTTTCCCATTAGAAACAACGTAATTTTGTTACTATATTTCTCTACTATGTAATTTTTATGTCCTCTAGGTGGACACTCATTGAATGAAATTATGGGTGAGTTATCAACAAATCATAAATGTTGACTATTGTGTTTACATACCACAAACAGGATTAAATATACAAAGACATATAATTTCGATCAATACCAATTAGTAACAGAATACTTACAGACTTCTTGGCTTAATGTCACCACATTCATTAGGGTAGCAACTATTCCAGCAACAGCATAGCTACCTTTTCATTTGGTCGTGAAACAACCAACAAATGCTGCAAAAACCTACATAACTGTGCAGCAGGTAGAGAGAAAAGGTGTCATGGATGTAGTGGAAGCTGCTAGCACTTTAACAGTTACAGTCAATCAACACTTGTTTTCTAGATCCCACCAGATACCAAATGAAACAGAAGACTCCAGTGAGGTTACTCCTGCTGGCGAGATCTGGAGTATATTTTACCAGCCATCCACATCGATATCCATCTTCAAGAAAAAACTTCGAAGTCAACAAGATGATTGCAACCCACTTGTGGGAAACTGAAGTGTCATTTATTTTACAAGAATCAATCTTCTTAAAATCCAGGTGACTCGGGGATAAGAATCCTTTTTCTTCCTCCCAGTCTCATACTTATTTTCCAAAAAGTCCATTTCCAAAGACCTTTGAGTGACTTGTTGCCTCTCTGCTGTTCTCTTGGGTATACTAGTGACAACAGGTTTTAATGCAGCTATAGTTTTGTAACACCTGGTGCTCATTAAGTCTGTAGTGCTGTTAATTACCGCCTTTAAACAGATGCACTTAAAATACATGTAAAAACTTGTAAAATTCAAAATGTCCTGTACTTCTGCCAAAAGTAGTTGAATGAGTATCTGCAGGTTGAGAACTCCTGGTGTCCTGCTTTCCTGTACCACTATATTATATCAGGCTACTTTAGTCCCTTTATTCTCAAGGCTGAAGACGGAGGTGGATGCTGATAACCTGTTCAGCTGCCACAGCAACCAGAGGCTTTATAGGATCAGTGCCCCTAATTGTCAAAGAACTAAAACATCGGTGGTGATCTGATCGCTGAAATAGTTTCTCTTTGGTTGCAACAGACAGCATTAACTATTTTTCCTCTTTGGTAGAATATCTGTGCACCCACAATGCTCAGACTTCTCATCCCACCACTGGGGATCAACAGTGAGTCTTTCAGCCTCAGCAAGTCCAGACCAGCAGTCGGAGAATACAGAAGTCAGAGAAATTGACTGGAAAAGTTCTCTGAGTGAACATCTCCTCAAACTATGTTAGAGAAAATACAGTGAGAGCCATTAAAGTACAGTAATTTTGGTTTAGACGAAAGAAATAAATACCATTTTAAACATGTACCAATGTTCTGTGTATACCAGACCTGCAGTCAGAGAGCAACTGTTAAATGCATCTGTGAAAGATAACTAAGAAAAGTAAGAAAGTTTAAATCCGCCCTTCTGGTTTTAACATACAACTCCTTCCCCTTCATGACGTCTATAGATGTCCTTGAAAAAATCAGGCATCTAGGACTTAAACAATGAAATATTGTGCCTTACTTGCTATTGTAGACCTAGTCTTTTACCTGAACTGAATTCCTTCCAGCTCCGTTTGTGTACTGCTGATGAGTGCCAGAGACAGCTGAACAATACCACAATAAATGCTTAATAGAAGCAAGACTTTAATAAGCCAGCAGTTATGGAATTGTTTATATCAAAAATTTAATATCATGGGAACATCTAGTACTTTCATGCATGAGCTGCTGGAAAGAATATAGGAAAAGATAATTACAGTATCTCCTAAAATCAAGACAGGACGAGTTGTAAAACACACTTGTTCTGTCTTGTGTGCGTCAAGGAGGTTAGGCCAGAAAATGTCATCTATTTCAGACACAACAAAACTTTTTACATTGCCTTTTTAGCAGTCAGGTTTTGCATCACACTGTGGCAGAAGAGAGTCCACCTCAGAGATTTGTAGCAAAACAGATTAGTTTGCTTCCTAAGCATGCTTATTGTGGTTTACAAATGGAAACCAGGCGGAGTCAGAGTGTAACACTAGATCCTTAAAGTTACCTTAGGAGCACATTGTGGTGAAGCTTTGTTTGCTCGCCTTATCAAATGTTCATATACAGTCAAAGGGACATTCATAAAGCAGTTAATTAATGCAGAAAAACCGCGAGGAACACCCCATGGCTGACTTCCACCTACTGCAGAAGGAAGAGGTACAGAACTATTAAGCTTCTCTTCTTCAGCAAAGAATTTAATGTTACTGCAAAATTAGAGAAAGCATTACAAATGACAGCAAAAAAGGCTGATGCCGCCAATGCAAAAGTTAGAGAATTTAGAAAGTGAGATTTTGCATCAGTCTCTTAGCTCCTCAACTATTTTTTAAATAATAAAATAAAATAATAATACTAAAAATAATAAAAATTAAAAAAAAATTAAAATAATAATAATAAAATTTCATGAGTCTTTCTTAGGGAATGTTTAACCAGTTCCTGTATGAAAGACCCATAAAACCAGCAGTTATAGCAGATGAACTGGCCATAGCAACAGTGAGTATGCCTAAGCGTAAGGTATTGGATACTGTGCAGGTAAGCTCACTGATAGAAGCATAGAGGAAGTTCCCCACAAATCTTTCAGATTGTCTGATTCTGGATACCTCTATTACTAGGAAATGGAGCAATAGATAGAAATGCATTGACAGGTTCCCTTAAATAGCACTTCTTTCTACACAGGCCTAAGACCATAAAGGGCGGGTAGATTTCTGCTGTGGATTTCTTCAAAATGTAGTATAGTCACCTGCACTCCTAGTACTAACATTTCAGTGATGTAGTGGTGTATGGCCAACATATATAGTATCCACTGACATAGCACTTTATGATCTTTGCTATCAGGGTTTGAGGAGAGAAAAAAGTCTGACATGCACAACTGTTGTAATCCCGCATGGTTCAGCATACAGAAACACCCCGACAACACTAGCAGCTGAGTGCTGACAGCTGGAGGGCACAGACACCTAAGGATGTTAGTGTTTACAGCGTTTTCTTCAATAAATTGAAAATAAATGCAAAAGAATAATTTGTTTGGAATTGTATCTGAATGGCCTTCTGACCTCCTATCTAGCAGTTCCCTCAACAGGCTGGACAGGCTGCAAATGTGACATTGGACACAATTTCAAAAGCAACTATTTTGACAACAAAACTACCATGAGGAGCTGCCTCATATGCACGCATTCCAGCCCCCGCTCTGGCCCCCTCCTCACTTTTGTGTGTTGGTATGACTGGCTGTGTGGTGCAATAAACTTATCAGGTTAAAAATTACCATCGCTTTTTTCTTCCCTGAGTTACTTTTAACACAGTTGAGTTCCCTGACCTTGTTTATTGGGTGGCTGCACGTAGAGATGAGCAAACACAGCTCAGTGGACAGTAAGCTGTAGGAAAAGGACAGCTGTCTGCCCCAGAAGCAGAGGCAGTGAATACTTATTTACGCCGCCACTGTAGCAGTTTGTGAGACTGCCTCCTTACTTTATGCGGTGTGTAGTTACAACAACTTAGAGTACACGTGGACCTCAGGCAGAAGGGGGCCATCTGGACAAGTAGCCTCCCAAATTCAAAATCTGCATTTAAAACTAGTTTAGTTTGTTGCCTGAATGATTTTATATGTACTCTTGTCTTAATATTGTTATGTTGGGGGGGAAAAGAGACTGTTATTTAAAAATATGTGTGATATGTTATCAAAGTAATATATATATTTATGTATAGGAAATGCATTATTTAATACAGCATATGATGCTTGTATCTCGCTAATATTTTATAGGAAGAAAAAGATGTTAGTTTACACTCTGGGAAAAATAAATTTTCTATACACTGTAACCACAGGAAAAAATCAAAAGATAATTCGTTGGTATATATGACCAGAACACTGAGAAGAGGGTAACAGACTCAATTTTGTGGCAGAACAGATGCTGATGAAACAATTGCTTTAAGATGTACTTTGCTTCTTTGAATCTTGTTTCTAGCTTGCAATTGTATTGCGCTGTTCATCAGATTCTGCAAATTCATGTGCATATACTCTTAGGATCATTTTAACATCAAGCATGTCACCTGCTTTTTCAATCAAGCATTAACATCATCTTTTTTAGTGCTTGTTTCAACAGGCAGTACAGTGTTGAGGAGGCTTATCACATTGCTCATGCAGACAACCCAGTGGTATTGCAGAATTACAGCCTCTGCATTCCAAGCTTCCCTGGCAATCGTATAAATGGTAGATTTTTTTTTATTTTTTTTTTTTTTACTGATTGTTCTGGAAACATGACTGAATATGCAGCCTGTATGGCTACAGGCCAAACACATGAGCAGACACTTGGCTGCCACTGAATGAGCATGACAGGCTATTCCAGTTTCATCTTCTGCTTAATAAGCCTTCTCAGGCAGTGGGAAGTACTGCCACCAGATTTTTCTCGTGCACCACTTTGCCTAAAGGAAGGGTGAACTGCAAAAACAAATCCTGACCAATACTTGTCCAACTAGTTCTTAATACCTTGCAGCAATGATATTTCGCAATCTTCCAGTGAAATATAGTCCAGTGATAGTTTCACCTGAATATTATTCAAGCTGTTTATGAACAGCCTTGTAATTTTGTTACCTTGAGATCTTGAGAGTGAAAAATGTAATTGTCCTCAGACCGTACCATTTTCCTGGAACAACACACCCCCCTCCAACACACAGACATTTCAGGCAACTCATACTTTCTCAACTTTACTGAGCACCTGTGCTTTCAGATGAAATTTGGTATTCTGAATTTCAGTCTCAAGACAACTTACTATAAATCCACAGGCTATCACATGAAACAAACGACTGACAAGAAAACAGAATAAATCAAACTTGAAATGACTCACCACTAAAATATGTGCTGTGTTTATACATGGTCACCCTGCATTCAGCAAATGGCTCTAAGTAATAATTATAAAAAAAGAGAGTGAATTTCTGCAGGAGTTCAGTTTGTCTCACTAAAATGTATACAAGCACTGAACAAAGGAGGCAGAAACTGCTGCAGTTCACCAGCAGGTAACAGCAGCATTGCCCACTGTGGAGGTTAGAAAAGAATAATTGAGCTGAAGATGCTGAGAATAATTATACATGGAAAATTTGTTACCGCTCTGAGAATTGATTTCTGAGATAACAGTAAATTGAAGTTTTCAGTTTACATGTTTTCAACCCGATCAGAGTAATTGTAACAATTCTCTAGAAATTGCAGCAAAATGTCATGCTGTTTCCACTTTCTTGCCTGATTCATCTTTTCTTCTGACCAAAATAATTCTTCTGACCAAAATAATGCTACACTCGCTCAAAGAAAACTTCAGCTACATTTTATGAAAAGGTCTGAATACCAGTGTCACATACCAAAACTGTGTCCAGCTTTTTATGTAAGGACTTAAACTCTTATTTTCTTTTAGAAATGGGAGAAGAAAAGGGGATTGGCTTCCCCTTACACAAGGGACTATACGCTGCTCTGCTTTCTTGCCATTCAGTGTATGAGACT